ACTTTGTTACATAACCATGTGAAGGGTTTTTATTTACGTTTTGGAATAAATTTTCTTTATAATGAAAATCAAATGTTTATAATTTCCTGCCACCATTTTGCGGGCCGGGCCGGGGATTTTGGGTAGTCAGGTTTCCTGGGTCTCGGGTATTCACTTTCTCTGTAGTTATGTTATTCTTCATGATTGTTGTGAATTAGCATTTGACACGATTCAACAACTGTAGGCAATTTTAGGTATTTGGTAATAAAGATTTTGCAATTTTAAGGTACATTGGTATCTCGCGAGGAAATCATCGGGTGCAAAACTACCCTCCTACCCCTCCCCTCCCCCCTCCCCAGCTGAACAGGAGTTTTGTCTCTTCCGCGGGCTAACCGCATCCTCGTTTATGTGGTGTACTATTCACTAACTGTGCCTCTTTTTGGGTTACTTCCCATCCTCAGAGGCCGAAAAGAATTAATTTTTCCTTTAATTGACTAAACTGAATTCAAACATTTAACTTAATGTTTCCATAAAAAAAGTTTCTTAAATCTTTAAACGATTCTCGTCAAATTTCATTAAAACATTCCAAGACAAACGAAAGTGTGTCGGGAGATTTCGATATTGGAAATATTTGTCCCGTGGTTTCCATTTACGCAACACGCCTCGCATATTTTTAGCTATACCGAAATCTAGAATCTTAGTAAGCTTTCTTCTGATGTATAGTTCTCTAGGATTTTAGTGAAACTAAGGCGCGTACGAATTTTTTTCCGAAGGACACCCGCGAAGGTGGGAAGTAACCTTAAAATGGTCTAGTAAGAGAGAAGAGGCTTCACTGCTTAGAAATTATTTTGTTAATAATTAATAGGGATGAAGTGAAGAGTTTTAAATTTTGGAGAGTTCCTTCTAACTGAACATAATACCAAAAAATTCAGAATGAAAGTATTCCGTATTAAAATTCTAGTGTGTTACTTTGCTTCTAAACTAGAAAGATTAATCAAAAATTGGACACACGTTTCCACTGGAAACTATTCAATTTAACCAGCCGATTACGAGGCACATTAGCACTATCAGTGGTATCATACTTTCGTACCATGATTAAGCAACGAACGTAACCAGCTTCAGTACTGAACCTGATTGCGATATATTCGATAGATTTGAGCAATTAATCTCTAGTTACTGCACTGAGGAAAATTGTCTGTATTGCTCTAAATCACAATTTTGACCTAAAACAAATATAACTTTATAAGATCGGATTTGCGCTGAGGCGCATTTTTATGAAAACCATCATGAAGATCTCGAATGGGAAGTTTTTCTCCGATCCAAAAATAAAACTGCTATATGTCTTATTTTCATCTCTACGCGGTATTTCATGATCAACTGCCATAGTTTGTATTAGAATGCAACTTTAAAAATTGCCACCATCAAAACATTGTCACTTTGCATTTGGAGCTGGTGATTTAAAATTGTTTCAACTGACTGCAGTATACGTACATCGGCTGATCGAAAATTATACTTGTTGCTTAGTGAAATACTCTAACCTTCGGCTTAATACTTGTTATATTCACCAAACTCACTCTGAACAAAATCCTAGCGAGCATATTTACTTTCTGTGCTATTGGCGTCCAATTATTGAATATT